CTGCTTTAGCATCTCTAAACTGGAGAGCAAGTTTAGTGTCTCTTCTGATGTCCATTTTGATTTTTTTCTTCTTTCTTGTCTTCTTAATGACTTTTTGCTTTCTTCCTGTATGATGTTCTTGATGTCTTCCCACAACTCTTCTGGTCTTCGGTTATTAGTGTTTATTGTATCATATCTGTTCTTCAGATGATCTCTAAATTCAGCCAGAGTGTTCTCTAAACTTACTGGTGCTACTACCTCTTGTTGTTAAGTGCCATCAAGTTGGTTTTGACTCGTAGCGACCCTGTATAGGGTTTCCAAGGAGTGTCTGGTGGGCTTGAACTGCTGACCTTTAGGTTACCAGTCCAGTGTTTATCCTGCAGCACCACACCAGGATCCTGGTTGGTACTTCTTAGTGATTACTAAATACACATAGATATGCAGGGAGTATAGAATCTACCTGCTCACAGCCATATCTCAGAGATATCACAGGTTCCATCCCCGACCACCCCAATAAAATTAATATTGTCATCAACGGAATCACACACATTTTTTTGGTTTCCCGGGATCTATAAAAGTTTTGGTGACACTGTAATGTATGTAGTCTGTGATGTGTGCAATAGAATGATGAAAATCTTTGAAATATTTCAAGAGTGACCCAAAGGTGACAGAGACACAAAGTAAACACATGCATTTGGAAAAATTGTGCCAATAACCCTTGCTCAGCAAAGAGTGTCCACACACATTCAGTTTGCAAACAATACATTGCACATTGTCTGCAGAGCACAATAAAGCAAAGAGCAATATAATGGAGTGTACTTGTTTATGGTTGCTGGGATTTATTTCTGCTTACTTTGCTGGTACAGCTTCACCGCTCACCAGTGATTTCTACATCTGTCGGAGTTCATTGAACTAGCTTGAAATATACCATTGTACACGAAAGCATTTTGTATTCAAGGAGTGGTTGTATTTTCTTTCTGACCAGTCCCTTCTTGCCTTCCAGGACATTTGCAAATCTCTCTGGTGCCATCGAGTAGGCCACAGATGTGAGACCAAGTTTATGCCTGCAGCGGAAGGGACCGTTTGTGGCTTGAGTATGGTAAATTGCATACTTGTTAGTTTTTAGTTCTAGATACTTGATAAGGAATGGAACCCAAGCTGTTCTCTGCCCTTACCCTTAGAATGAATGATTTCACTGCATTTATTTTCTGAATTTTCTTTAGCATAACGTGTCTGATTTAGCAACTACGATAAAATCGCATGCTAATATAATCCAATTTGATCAATGGTGTATGATTTCCTTCTTTTTTTTTTTCCTTTGTTATCCTTTGTAGAGGGAGGCTTGGATCAAAATGTTGGTATTCCAGTGAACAAGTAGTTTTCATTGTCAATTGCTTGCCTTTGATGTAGTGTGTAAAACCTCAGGGATCAGGAGTCCTGTTTACTAGTAAAAAACTGACTGTCTCACCCTACCATAACCTCTGGCACTCACTTATCCTCCAAGGACATAGTATTGAGTTTCTGACTTGCCTGATAGAGCCCCATCGTTTAGAGAATGTCTTATGTTGTACCAGAAAATCTCTTGGGAGAGACCATCTTCATCCGGACAAAGAACCATTTCCGTTGTGGGAGGTATGTAGGTTTTGAGTGATGAACTCTTATGTGTCCATTTGTATTGCCTTCCTCTTCTCTAGTAGAGTCTAGAGGGAAAGAGGGACATTTGAGATGGCAGTATATGATCCTGATTTGAGGAGTTCATTTTGCAGACTGTAATATGGGATGATGAGTGGAGCTCCATGAGTGGAGCTCTCCAAGCAGCCCAGGTCCGTATGGAAGATTGAGTCCATTAGAGTGAACCCAATTCCACAATAGCATATTAACTCCTGAATACCAGTTTCTGGAGACGTGGGGACACAGAGAAGAAGATGACTTGATCTTGTACCTACAACAGTTCACAGTCAGTCCAGCAGAGACCTGGGCAGAATAAGTAGTCACTAATGCTATCTTTTTAAATACACTTACACAGCATTTAGCTGCTATGGAGACCCAGATGGTTGAGAAATGCATCTTTTCCAGAACCAGGGATGCATTTAGGAAAAGCTCCAATGAGGAGGCACACTAGCATGGAGCTTGGAGTTTGAACTGAAGTTCTCTAGCTGAATGAGAACAAGGAAGAACAAGCAATTTTTAAAGGCCAAGACACAGATGGACGAGAAGGAAAGCGTGTCTAGCAATTGCTGTCTAATCTTGTTGAAGGCTTCTCTTCACTATCTCTTGGAAGAGTTATGCTTTTTAACTCTTTATTTTGAAAGCGCTGGACTGCAGAACCAGTGTGAACTGCAGGTCAGTGGTTCAAGCTCACCAGCTGCTCCTTGGAAACCCTATACAGGGGTTGCTATGGGTTGGAACCAACTCAACAGTACCTAACAACAACAACAAATTTTGAAAAATCAACATTTAAAAAGTTGAAGAGTTGCCAGCAATATATATATACGTTTCTAATGACTGTTGTCCGTATTTTAGAATTCTTCATCCTTCTCTTTTCAATTAATCACATCCCATAAAGCAGATGGTGAACATTGGAATTGGAGCTACGGTCCATTTTTAATCAAATGTACTTCTCACTAGAAATGTTAGTAAGAACATTTTGACTATGACTATACAAAGCAATAGCAGAATAATTGATGCATTTGAGTTATGGTGTTGGAGGAGAATATTGAAAGTGCCATGGGCTGCCAAAAGAACAAATAGATCCATGTTGGAAGAAGTGCAGCCAGAATGCCCCTTCGAGACCAGGATGGCCATACTTCGTTCTCATACTTCGGACATATTGTCAGGAGGGACCAGTTGCTGGAGAAGGGTATCATGTTTGGTAAGGTGGACTTCATATGACAGAGTAGAACTGCCCCTTAGGGCTTCTAAGGCTATAAATCTGTTACTGAAGCAGGCTGCCTCATCTTTCTCCCACAAAGGAGCTGCTGGGCTCGAACTGGCAACTTTTCAGTTAGCAGCCGAGTGTTTAACCCCTGCGCCACCAAGATTCCTTATGTGTATGTATAAACCAAATCCCACTGGCATTGAGTACATTCAGACCCTGTATAGACTTTCAAAGGCTGTGAATCTTTTCTAGAGCAGATTGTTTCATCTTTTTCCCAAGAAGCGGATGGTGGCTTTGAACTGCTGACCTTGTGGTTAGCACTCCAGGGCTTATCCCACAGTGCTTCCAGAGGTCCATATTTGTATGTGTTGTTGCTGGTGGCAAGTTGTTGAGTTCGTTCCTACTCAGAGCGACTCTGTATAGGATTTCCAAAGAGCAGATGGTAGTTAGAGAAATAAAATTATATGTGTATATTAATTTTTATATTTAACATCTTTCATGTAGAATTTTACATAAACGTGTCTATATATATATGTCTGTGCCTCCCTGCCTCCTAAAAGGCGTTAAAATCCAGTTTAGATAGCCTTTCAGCTGCCCAGCCTGATACTGGGAAACATTTCAAAGAAAAAAAAGTTAAATTGAATGACTGGAATAACAGGAGTCCATTCCTTAAAAACAAGCAAACAGACCTGTGATTCAAGACTAACTAGTTGATCCATAACTTGTCCCCAAGGTCAGGAGTATGTAAGTTGTTTATCAGCTTTTGGTAGTAGATTTGAAATCTTGTCTTATCTACTCCTGGTGTGGCGCTGTAGGATGAGCACTGGACCGCTAACCTCAAGGTCGGCAGTTCAAACCCACCAGCCGCTCCTTGGCAACCCAGTATTGGGTCACTATGAGTCAAAACTGACTGGAGAGCACTTACCACCACCACCAACATAACTCTTTGTTTCAGTGTGTGCTCTGAAAAAGTTACTTAGTTATTATTCTCTGCTATATCTCCCTCATCTAGGGAATAGTCATTAACCCTGAAGTGCTTTGTGAGGATTCTAAGATACATTGTGTGTGACGTTCTCTGACATTTGCAGCACTTTGTAGATGCAACTTTAGTCAACTCTTCTAACAGCTGCTGCTGTTTTATTCTGGGCACCTGAGGTCAATCTAGTCGTGTGCGAACAGTCCTGCTAGAATAGATGCATTCTCTGGGGATTCGTGTGTTTTTTTTTTTTTTGTCTTTCCTCAAAGATCTTTGCCTACGTCATGCTCATTCAGTTTGAAGTTAGAAGTAGCACTAGAAATATCTGTGCAGGGAGAGACAAAACCTTCCAAGGGCTGTTCGCTTTCCCTACAAAGTTCTCAACGATGTTATATGATCCCGTGCAAAGTCTGAAATGGCGGTTGGCTCAGGGGAAAAGAAAATTTAAAAACAGCAGAATTAATCAACACATGGCAAGATTGTGAAGAAAGGAAGTAATATCTTAACTTAGACAGAGTACACTAGCAACCAAGCCACATAATAAACAGCCACAAGGCCAAATTTATCACGGAGGGGAGGGGGAAGTAAAGATTTGAAGTCAAACAACTTCTCCATAATTCTGTAGCTGAAGCCCCCCATCCTCAGTGAAATTTGGCCAGGTGCAAACCCCAACCCTATGAATCTAACTGCAGAGGCTCTTAGGAGAGTGTGCAGTCAGGCAGAACTTGCTCCTAATAAAAGCACCCCAGAAAAACAAACAAAAAAACAAAAAAACACCCTACCAGAGGTGAATGCAACCCCCTCGGAGAGAGATGAATAATGAAGCTTGGAATGTACACTAGGAAGGTTAGAAAACAGCTCTCCACCTTGAAGGAAAAACCCAGTGCTAATGGTGTGGCACTGTGGGTTAATGCTCCAGACTGCAAAGCCATTTGAACTGCAAGGTTGGCGGTTCAAACTCACCAGCTGCTCCTTGGAAACCCTATACAGGATCACTATGGGTCGGCACCGACTTGACGGCACTTCACAACCACAACAACAGCAATTCATCAAGGACACTCAGCTCAGCATCATCCGAGGGGCTGAAGTGGGCACTTTTTACTGATGAGAAGTTATTCTATTTTGTAAGAAATATCCTATGGGGATGATTTGGAATTTAAAAAGCAAGATAGAATCAGTAAACAGTTGCCATTGATTCTCATTCATGGAAGCCTCATGTGTGTCAGAGTAGAGCTGTGCTCCATAGGGTTTCATTGGCTAGGTGTTTGTTTTATTTTTGGAAGTTGGTCTCCAAGCCTTTCTTCCAAAGTGCCTCTGGGTGGATTCAAATTGACAAACTTTCTGTTAGCCTATGAGCCTTGTGCACCACTCAGGGACTCCAAAACAGAGATACAATTCATCCTTGGATCTGTTTTATGGTGAGGCCACTGTTGAAGATGAGAAAGTCTGTGTGAATATCTTGCAAACGGATTCCCTTGAGTGAATGGTACATTGCACTTTAGTGAAGTCTGTCAAGGAAGGGAGGCTCCTTTGTAGTTCTCGCCACGCTGATGACCTGAGTTGTTTGTGGACTCCTATCTGAGCGTTTCACCTGGACGTTCACAAAACACAGCATCCCCAGCCTGTTAGTGATAGGTGCCCTTCTCTCTAGATGTCAGACATTTAAATGCATGAAGTAAAAGAGCAGAAACCAGGTGTTTACAAAACACAGTGACTGAAGGGATTCCACACGTGAGGTCAATATAAAATGCAGCAACTGAAGGGATCCCGTGACAAGGCCCATAGGGAGTAACCAAGCATTTGTACAGAGCAGAAACTGAAGCTGCATGAACGGAATGTAGAGTAACCAGGTGTTCATGAAAAGATTCTCTCAGCTGTCGTGAATTTTCCTGTTTGCCTTCAGACTTCTTTACCCCATAACCCCGCGTATTTGCTGCGTCTCCCTATGCTCTCCCAGCTGGTTCCTGACAGAAAGCTTACTGTGTATTCTCTTCACAGTGGTGTCGGCGAGGTCAGTGTGTCAAGTTTGGGGAGCATGGGCCCCGGCCCATCCACGGCCAATGGTCCTCCTGGTCGAAGTGGTCAGAATGTTCGCGGACGTGTGGCGGAGGAGTGCGGTACCAAGAGAGATACTGCAGTAACCCCAAGTAAGGAAGGCTCTGAGGGAAAATCAACATTTCTGAGACAATAGCTTTGAGCACATAACACACTGCCCCCCCTCCCCCCTTTCCCCCGCCTTGCACCATCTGGATGATTAATATCACACTTACACTTTTGCCCAGTTAAGTTTTCCAAAAATATATACTTTCAAGAAAAGTGTATTACTCCCATGAAACTATGATGGGTGGTAACATGTATATGAGTGCATTTGTCACTTCAGCTCTTTCAAAAGTTTTTTGCTAAGAATTCATACAACAAAACATTCACTCAGTACGTATAATTCTGTGACATTGGGTACATTCTCACCTCTTTTCTGAGTTTTCCCTCCACATTAGCATGAACTGACTTCCCCCCAAAGCTCCGAGCTAATCTTTCAAGTTACTGTTCTCATTTAGAATCAAAAGAGCATAATGCTCAAAGCAGACATTTTTATTTATTTGTTTGCTAGTTGAGTTAATGTTTGGTTTTAAGAAGATGTCAAAGAATATTTTGTATTTGTTTTAAAGACTTACTCAGGGTTTTGCTCTCTGGGGGTTCAGGCAGCCTGGAGTCCGTGAGAATTTGAGATTCTTTCTGCAGTTTCCCCCTTTTGATCAGGATTCATCTTTAGAATCTTAGATCAAAATGCTCAGTAATGGTGGTCCCATGCCATCCAGCTCTTCTGGTCTCATGGCAAAGGAGGGAATTAGCTACACATTCTGTATCTTCTTCTTCTTCCTAACTCCTCTTCCTCTGCTGCTCCAGGGAATAATGATCAATTGTTGGGCCTTGGATGGCTGCTTGCAAGTATGTAAGACCCCAGACACAACATGATGAACTAGAAGGTAGAACGAAAGAACTAAACTCGTAATTAGACCAATTAACTGGGATGTCTTATAAAACCATAACCCTAGCCCTAAGGAACCAAACCTCATAAGGATTTTGATTGTGCATGCTGTTGTTAAGTGTCATCAAGTCGGTCAGTTCCTACCTATGTGTAGGGTTTCTGAGGAGTGGCTGGTGAGCTTGAACCACCAACCTGGCCCTTCAAATGACTTTGCAGTCCAGCGCATTAACCCACAGCGCCACCCCAGGCTAGCAGCTTCAAGAGTTTTTTGGTTTTTTTTTAAATGGGAGGGGGAAGGTGGTCCATCACCATTGTTTGTTTCCAAATTTTTTCATCCCCCTTAACAGAAACTCAGTCATCCTTAAATACTGTTTTAAAGTATGGTTTTCTTTCCTGTGCTTATTAGTAATCAGTTAGCATTTTACTGTATGTATATAAAGGTCATGTGCATTGTACGGGACGGTGTAGGAAATGAGAGATCAAAACTGAAAATTCTGCACAGGAGTTAATCTGTGGGTCTGTGTGATGGTCAAGGACCCCAGCGGTTGTTAAACTACTCCCTTCATCTCAAGGAGGTCCACCCAGTCCAGTGCCTCTGATGCTCAGAGCAGGCCGGCTTGGCTGCTGGACTGGATGTGTCTCTACGTGGTGAGCTACGTGTGTCTACGTGTGTCTCTACTTGTGCCATGCAGAAATGTGCAGCCACACGTTTTGACAGACCTGCCTGACTTTTCAAGAGAAACCGGAAATTCCAAAAAAAAAGTCATGTGTGAAGTTTCCCAATTTTCAAAAATAATGACAACAAATTCAATTAAAAACAAAACCCAGCAAAAAACAAACTTTTTATGGATTGGAACTGGCCCAGGTCACTCTTGTACACCTTCGGGCCTAATCATTCTGGGCCACTGAGCTGCATTCTTTTTGTGAAAATGAATGTGGTTTGATATTGCTTTTATATACATTTATACAAGGGGGCTTCAACAAGTCGGTGGGAGAATTCTGCTATCTTTTCATTCTACTTTTCCACCGACTCTGAAGCCTCCTTGTATACTCTAGTTCCATACGAAACACACGTGCGACCTGTTATATCCTGATGGTAGGGTGAAGTAGAGAGAGACTCTGAACCCCTGGTTGTTAAGTGCAGTGGAGTTGGTTTCAACCCATAGTGACTCTGTCTATGATTTCCAAGAAGTGGCTAGTAAGTTTGAACTGGCAACCTTGCAGTTCAAACGGACTTTGCAGTCTAGTACATTAACCCACAGCACCACCGTAGGACCATGGACGAACCCCTGGTATCTGCTGTTAATTAACTCTGTGTCTTTGGGGAAGTCATTTAAACTCTCAACTTGGGTTTAGGGAGAAAGTGGAGCTAGTAATACCCTCTTGGGAAAGTTAGGGGAGGGGACTAGAAATTGCATCTTGTTGACTATTTGACACCCTGGTGAGCACCCCATGGACAGTCAACAAAAGGTTCTTAGGTCCATGAAGTTTTCATCATTCTCATCCCAAACCCACTGGGAGAGACAGGTACCAACATGTTAGCCTTCAGATGCAATGGTGAAAGGTCTTACTGATGAAAATAGACTTTGGAGAATTGTTGAAGGTCATAGAATGAGAAGAAGATTGAAAAGTTCCATAGACTGCTAAAAGAACAAACAAATCTTTGCTTGAAGAAGTACAGCCAGAATGTTTCTTAGAAGCCTCCATGGTAAGACTTCATCTCTCATACTTTGGACAATACATGTTATTGTTTGTTGTTGTGAAATGTTGTCATATCAGTTCCAAACCCATAGAGACCCTGTATATGCTTTCCACGAAGCAGCTGGTGAGGCTGAAGCAGTGACTTTGTGGTTCAAACCGACTTTGCAGTCCAGTGCATTAGCCCACAGCGCCACACCAGGACACCATGGACATGTTATTAAGGAGGGACCGATCTGTCGTATCATGAGAGGGTCATCATGCTTGATAAAGTGAAGGGTCAGCTAAAAAAAAAAAAGACCCCCAATGATATGGATCGGCACAGTGGCAGCAGCAGTCAGCTCAAACATCGCAATTGTGATGATGGTACAAGACTATTTGGTTCTTTTGTATGTAGGGTAGCTATGAGTTGGAACTGAGTCAATAGCGCCTAACACCATAGAACGAGAAGACTGTGGTTCAGCCTTGGGAAATAGTGTGTTTGAGTTTAGAACAAGATTTGAATGGCGCACGGGAACCCATTAGTGCGGAGTCAACTGCAATTCAGGGTAAGCACATGTGTGTCAGAAAGGGCTGTGCTCTGCTAGGGTTCGTCAGCAGGACTCACCTACCTTTCTTCTGAGGTGCCTCTGGGTGAATTTGAACCTCCCACCTTTTGGCTAGTGGTTAAGTGCATTGACCCTTTACACTACCCAGCTTGGTTTTGTGGTAGTGGTGGTGGTTATGTGCCGTGGAGTCGGTTCCGAATCTTAGCAACCCTGTACAGGGTTTCTGAGGCTGTAAATCTTTACGGGAGCAGAAAGCCTCAACTTTCTCCCACGTAACAGCTGGTAGTTTCGAACTGCTGACCTTGCGGGTCACAGCCCAATTCGTAACCACGACGCTACCAGAGCTCCTTGGTTCTGTGGTTGTTGTTGAGTACCATGGAGTCAGTTCCGACTCATAGTGACCCTGCGCGGGGTTTCCGAGGCTGTAAATCTTTACAGGAACAGAATGCCTCATCTTTGTCCCACAGAACTGCTCGTAGTTTCAAACTGCTGACCTTGCAGTTCACAGCCTGATTCTTAGAGATCTTTAAATTGTTGTCTCCATGTAGAGGTGTGATTCCTGGCCAGTGCACCAGCTCATGTGTGGCCATTGCTGTTTGTCATTGGTGCTTTCTGACTAGGATGGACGAGGGTGAAATGCTTGGCGGTCTCCCAAAAATCAGCCAAGGAAAACCCTGTGGATCACATGGTCTAGTCCCCATCTAGTCATGTTGGTAGGACAGGATTGGGCAACATTTTGTTTCATTGTGTATGGGATTGCTTTGAGTCGAAGATCTGCTCCACAGAAGCTAACAACCACAACAACACAGCATGGAGTAACAAAGACTCTAATGCCAACCACTTGTGTTTGCATCTTGGTGCTGACATTTATTTCCTGGCTATGTGGCTGCTTGCAACTTATTCCCCGGCCCCAGATTCCTCACTTGTCATAACAGGATAACAATAGTACCTACATCGACTGAGTTAAGATTTGTGAAATGCTTAGAGAAGTGCTTGGCACGTTGTAAAAGCATTGTATAAATGTTTGGTAAATTGAGAATTCAAATAAATCATGAAACTACAGCAAAAGGAAATTTTTAAAAGAGAAAAACAGTGTTTCTTTTGAGTCAGCAGTCTGGACTGAAAAAAAACAACTAGGGGGCTAATTTATCCCAAAATACCAGGGAGAATTTAGGATAGTTTGACCATGGTTTGTCAGGCGCTGTTGAGGGTGGTGGTGGTGGTGGTGATGTTCCATGGAGTTGGTTCCGACCCATAGCGACCCTGTACAAGGTTTCCAAGGCTGTAAATCTTTATGGGAGCAGAAAGCCTCATCTTTTTCCATTGGAACCTCTAGTAGTTTTGAACTGCTGACCTTGAGGTTAGCAGCCCGATTCGTAACCACTATGCTACCAGAGCTACCAGGAATGTGTTGTTGTTGTGAAGTGCCGGCGAGTCGGTTCTGACCCATAGCGACCCTGTATAGGGTTTCCAAGGAGCAGCTGGTGAGCTTGAACCACCGACCTTGCAGTTCAAACGACTTTGCAGTCTGAGGCATTAGCCCACAGCGCCACACCAGGAGTCCACAGGGGCAAAATTACCCTGGCTTGAGAGACCCCACTGGTCCATTCAGATGCTGTAACTAGGTACAGTGGTGGGAAGGCTTGTGATGTTTTTATACCTTTTACCAGATGATTAAAACCACATTTCTGATATTTGGAATGTAACCTGTGTCTTGGATTGCTGTTGTTGTTGTTGTTGTTGTTGTTAAGTGCCGTCGAGTCAGTTCTGACCCATAGTGACCCTGTATAGGGTTTCCTAGGAGCAGCTGGCGAGCTTGAACTGCCGACCTTGCAGTTCAAACGGCTTTAGTTGTTGCTGTTAGATGCCTTTGAGTTCTGACCCCTGACAACCCTAGATAAACAGAATGAGACAC